GGCATAATAAAGTTCCTACAACAGTATCTATATTTGAATCTCCAGAACCTGTGAATATTACCTTGCTTGGCTTAAGGGATCTTGCAGATATGATTAAGTTAAGGATCTTTAGATGGTGAGATTATCCTGGATAATTCAGGGGGGCCCTTATAAATAAAGACGGGAGGCAAGAAAGTCAGCGTTAGAAAGAGATTTGAAGATACTCTGTTGCTGGCTTTGAAGCTGCAATAAGGGGCCATAAGCCAAAGAATTGAGGCATATTCTAGAAGGTGGAAAAGGCAAGGCAATGGATTCTCCCCTGGAGCCTCCAAAAGGAACACAGCTCTTGTGACAACTTGATTTTAGCCTAGTGAGATCTGTTTTGAATTTCTGGCCTTCAGAACTGTAAAATATTTCATTTTTTATTGTTTTGAGCCACTACCTTGTGGTAATTATTCCAGCAGCAATAGGAAACTGATACATCCACCTGCCCCTGTTAGACTGTAACGCCTCTAGAACAGGGGCTTGATCTTCCTTAACCTTGCCCATCGCAGGTGCTCAGAGTTCCTGGAGCACAGGTACTTTGGTTTTTTAGACAGAATACTTGACAGAATATCATGCCTGTTTGTGCTCACCTTAAACCCTGATGAATGACGTTGTCACTGGATACGGTTTGGCTTTCTCAGAATATCCCAGAACATAATATCCAAAAACTGGGATACTGCTGAGAAATAATTTACTTCTCCTTAAACAGTAAAGTTCTCATCCATCATTGGGGGAGACAATGACTTAGTCTCACCCACTCCAACACTCTGCAGATCTTTGAGTGCAGGTCTATGGGTTTAAGGGCTAAAATGGGATGTTCTCACAAAATCCCTCAGGGATTCCAGAACAAAGCCAAAATCCAAGAAGCTAAGAGAACAATCTAGAAGATCACCTGCACTGAAGATCGGAGTGAATGTTACCAAGCTGGAAATCTGGGGACCATGGAAATGAGGGCAAACAAACAGAAGAAAAGGGATTATAGAGTCTGGAACTGTCACAGCTGCTTTTTTAGGCCAACTAAGGCCTGGTATATAAGTGGTTTATGAAGATGGAATGGACAGCACTTCATGCCCACACAAATCATGCTGTTTTTGCCCAGCTGTACTCTCCTTTAAGGTAAAGTAGGGTTTTCAGGCATTGTGCAGTATTAATGAAAAACTAATTTTACTTTTCCCTAATTGAATCTAGCTTTTGATGAACAGCAATGAATGTCTCACTAAGATCTCTAGTCCTGAAGACCTAACAAAAACACCTTAAAATCTGGTAAAATTACAAAGATCTCAGAATGTACTATGCAAAATTTCAGATCTTATTTTTCACATCTTCTATGTATTTGTTAAAGAAAACTTGGTGACCCATGCCTGATATGAATAAGGCCTTTTACTTTTTTCTTATAAACATTTAGGCTTAAAGTGATTATAACTGACAGTTAAGACCAACAGAAGCCAGTGGCCTGCTCATGGACAAATTATCTGTACTTCAAGCTAAATCAAAAGTAAACATTCTCTACGGTCCCTTCAGGTCTACATTAGTCCTGTGGAAGCCAAATGGGACAGTCAAACCCTCCCCTTGCCCCCATATATCCTGTGGACTCTTCAACATGAATGGTCTTTTCCATGAAGCACTATTTTATGCGTTTTGAACCATTTCCACATCTAAGTTCTTAAATGCTTATTTAACAGATTTTCCTCAATTACCATTTTTATTTCATTAGGCTAATATCTGCAAAAGACTGGGCTGTATTGCTTTATAATCTATCAGATTAGTGTTTTCCTAAATAATGGTGCAGGAGAGAATATGTTCTGATAACCTTCACTTTTTTTTTTTTCTTAAGATTTTTTGTATGTATTCTTTGGAAGAGGAAATAGCAGTGAATTCTTGTCACTTAATAAATGCTCAGAAAGACTAAGTATTATAAAATGTTTTAAATGACAAAGCTATATTCCTGAATATCTGTATTAGAATATACTGATAATCAGTTTAAAAGCAACACAAGAGTAAAGGGGAAGTCACCATTCTGAATCACAGAGCAGTAAAACTGTTGTCACCAGCAATGATGTCACTCATCCTCAAGGTTCTGAAAGCCTATTAGAAATCAGCTTTAGGGAGAAATATCTTCTGACTTGTCACTGGTTCTAAAAGGCAATCAGTGTTAAACAAACACAGGCCCCTTTTTGGAACCTATATAATAAACTCAGACACATTAATCTCTACTCACGTCTCTAGTCAGGGTCTGACCCCTAACTCTTTTGGCTTTAATGGAAGGAAGTAAGGGTCAGCTGACATTAGCTAACAGAAGTTTGTGTAACAGTTCAGATATACATATAAGCAAATAAATATCATTTCTTAAACTTTTTATTGAGTGCTGTGAGACAAAAATATCTCCCCTCGACAATACAAGATTGCATTATAGTCTCTGTATATCTTAACAGTATTTACTTAATCACAAAATTTGACTTAAAAGAAGGCATCGAGAGGAAAGAGGAGGTCAGCCTCTGTTTGACCTGGATGTTTTGGTCCATGGATAAAGCACTGACCCTAAACAGTCAAAAGCCCTGGGTGATATTCCTGCTTTTGCCACTAAAAATTTGTATGACCTAAAACACTTCACCTTATTTCTCTAGGTCTCACTTGCCTCATGTGTACAATGAGAGGACGAATAACTTCTCTACCAACTATGAAAACCCAGTAAGAATGAGATAAGGTGACACATATGAATGTACTTGGCAGATCCTGCCATATAAATGAGATGACAGTATTTCATAAGAGAGCTTCTTTCTTGAGTAGAGAACAATGTATACGAAGATGTCATGCCACTTGGCTGTATTCTTAGAAATATTAGAAATAGTGCACATTCAAGAAATAAATGTGTACCGTGGTTACGAATACAACTGCTTTGATGCAACTAGTAAAATGAATAAAATGATCCCTTTGGAAAAACTAAGTTATGAATTGAGAAAACTAAACAAGATACTAGAAATTTACCAGTCAGCACCTCTCAATTCTTGTTTAATTAGTGACACCTCTTGAGTGCTTCTGGGAAAGATGATGAAGTAAGCATAGTTCTTCAAGGACTACCTCCCATCCAGCTGAAAGGAATGACAAATGACAACCTATATATATGTGTATATATGTATATGTGTGTGTATACATGTATATATACACACACATACACACACACACACACCCCTGTACATACACTAACCCAGATTTTTAACACTAACTCATAGTGTTAAAAAGTAGGGAAAGGTAGTATGCCATGCCAGAAACATAAAAGCACTCCTGCTCAGTGTTGTGTAGATCGTGCCACATTAAAGGAAGACATTGAGTAGAAACTTGTAACTTGCCTTCCTGAGAAAAATCAGTGTCATGAAGAAAGAGCACTAAGAGACCTGCGGTTTTGTGCAGTGGTTACAAGTGGCTATAGCAACTCCAGACCTTACATCTCAGATTCAAACCCAGTAGAGGAAAAAGTGATGACTTCTTCCCAAGCGTCTCAGCAAAAGTATCTCCCTCTATCCCATTAGCTCTGATTGTGGCATGTGCCATCCCTGAGTAATGCTCAACAGCCAGAGAAATGTATGGCTTAACCGTAGGCCTGGATACCCTTGAGCCAGAGTAAATAGGGAGGGAAATTTATGTGAAGCATATTGGCTATGAGTTAAGGAGAGGTGATTCCTTAGAAATCTTTGTACAGTTTTTGTTTAAAAGGGTGAATGCTTGGCAGCCATGTTTACTATAACTGCCTGCTCTTAGTCACTAGATGCTTCACATATACCTTAGTTCAGAATTGCTTGACTAGCTCAGTTGGTAGAGCGTGGGACTCTTAATCCCAGAGTCAGTGGGTTCAACCCTCACATTGAGTGGTTTTACTTTTTTTTTTAACACCTGTGAAAAGAAAGGAAATTTTTAAAAAATAAATAAAAGTAAAAGCAAAATAAAAAATACCTTAGTTCGGCCAGGTGCAGTGGCTCACCCCTGTAATCCCAGCACTTTGGGAGGCCTAGGTGGGCGGATCACGGGGTCAGGAGATCGAGACCATACTGGCTAACACGGTGAAACCCCGTCTTTACTAAAAATGCAAAAATTAGCTGGGCGTGGTGGCGGGCGCCTGTAGTCCCAGCTGCTCGGGAGGCTGAGACAGGAGGATGGCGTGAACCTGGGAGGCAGAGCTTGTAGTGAGCCGAGATCACGCCACTGCACTCTAGCCTGGGCGACAGAGCGAGACTCCATCTCAACAACAAAAAATAATAATAATAAAATACCTTAGTTCAAGGATGAGATAGATTTAGCATACCCCTGCTGCTTTACTATTGATTTTAGGAATTCATTTGCCACTGCCATTGTCTCTTCTTGCTCTTCTGTAACATTACCTGCCACGGTAGCTAAGCTGACTTCATCTGATTTGTGTAGACCTAATCCAGTACTTGCTTGTTCTTGGAGCTTTGGCTTCTACAACCTGTCCCGCCTGTACTCCTCAATGTTGGAAAAGGGGCTTCAGAAGCAGCTGAAGAATCTCCCTATCACAGTATACCAACACATTACTGGGTTTTTGAGGCCTCATGCTTTCCTAATAGCTGCCTCCCCTAAGAAGAGTGCCTTTATCCAGAAAGGAAGCTAGGAGTGTGTTTTTGGCCTCTGAGTCCCAAAAGCTTTCACAGACTGTCCACTTTGCCCAGACCCAGGATACTAAACAACGTGAGGCTACAAAGTATGGGAAGGGTGGTTGGCAGCCTCAGCACTGGCTGCAGAGTGCTCAGTTGACACTGCTGCAGCAGGCTGGTCTTCCAGAAGAAAAAGAAAGCCACAGTGCGGTTGGTGGGGAGGGATTTATTCCTTGAAGTTCTTTGTTACCATATTGCACAACTCAGATGGTTTGTTTTTAATGGTCTGATTGTCTTGTTTCATTTAACCTATACAAATTGCTAACATCCTTTAAGTAGTTTTTCTCAAAGAATTGAATGTTTCTTTGTCAGGTCATACAGCATATTTGACAATAATCGCCAGGATCCCACAGGGCTGACAGCTGCTCTTCAGGCAACTGACCTGGCTGGAGTTCTTCATATGCTCTACTGTGTCCTCTTCCATGGCACCATCTTGGACCCTAGCACTGCCAGTCCCAAGGAGAATTACACCCAAAATACCACCCAAGTAGCCATTCAGAGTTTACGTTTCTTCAACAGCTTTGCAGCTCTTCATCTGCCTGCTTTTCAGGTACCAAGTATTGGTTTATATCAATGTTAACCAATCGAGAGTTAATATTTTCGTGTAGATAGGATGTCAGGTTCTTCTCCTGAATTGGGGTATAAGGAATAAACTACAATAAATGGAATTATAATATATATTATAATTTATTAAGCTACTATTTTCTGGGAACTGTATTAGATGCTCTATAACATCTAGCATTCTCATTTATTCTCATAGCTACCATGCAAAGTATTGTTATACCCATTTTACAGATAGAGAAGCTGACAGTTAAGAAATTTGCCCACGGTTACATGTGTATGAACCAGGACAAGTAACCGTGACTCTCCTACTCCAAAGCCTATGTTCATCCTTTGCCATGCTGCTATTTATAAACCTTTTGTCTGGAATTCTTTAGATCAGGACATTATCATCTCATCAACTTTTAAATATTAAGGAAAGTAATGGTTTCTTATGTAAATAGAACCAAAATTAGATAAATTATTTGACTGATATGACTTTCTATGGATGGTTTAGCTGATTCTGTGTCCAATGTAAAGTATATAACTAGCTTTTTAGATAAATTCTTTGATTGATATGACTTTCTATGGATGGTTTAGCTGATTTTGTGTTCAGGGTAAAGTGTGTAACTAGCTTTACAGGGATTTGCATCTTTAGCTATTAAGTTTTTATAGCTAAAGAAAGAAGAATTGCTTTATGCTATAACACCAGACTGTCAGCCTGGAAACAGATTTTTTTTTTCATGTAGGAAATTTAATTTTCAAAAACACTGAACCTTTGGAACAGAGCAAGCCCCAAGGAATAGACTTTCTCTTTCAGTTTATTAACTGTCAAGTGATTTCATTAAAAAAGGAACAAACTTGGCAGATGATGAACCCATAATTTAGATGAATTGCTTTGCTCAGAGGGAAAAAGGTTATAGAGATACAAATGTATGAAAATAGTGGACTTTGCCATTCTGAGATGGAAGGAATACTTCTATATTGTAGCTGATGACAAATGTACAGTTCTTTAATTGATGTCTTCCTGTCATTTTGTTCAAAAAAGGAAATTTGTGACTAAGTTGTATCATTGGATCTAGTATCTTTCAACTTTGTAGAATTAGTTTATCTGTCATGAGAACAGAAATCCCTTCCTTTGGGTTAATGCTTTTCTGTCTCCAGAGCAGTTGAACTAGCCTTAGGTGGTAACTGACTGCACAATACGTAGAGTTCTGGGAGGTTACAGTCACATATAAATGAGAGATATCTGCTTCAAAAAAATGTCAGTGGTTCTCGCCTCAGGGTTGAACATAACATCTGTGTTTTTTGAAGACCTAAGCCCACTGTATTCTGTCTGGAAACAGTTTGGAAATCAGGGAACCTTAACTTTACATGCTCAGGATATGGAGTCTACCAGTCTACCCATCAGCTGTGTCGAAAGGGAGTGATTTCTTTTGTTAATAGATTATGGAATAGCAAATATCTAAAAACTGTCTCTTAGCTTCCTGTTTCACGGGTCTTCTTCACCAACATTTATACTGCTACAGGGGACTCCACATCATAAACAAGCATCTAGGATAAGTCAGCTGTTCAGTCAGTCATTCTGTCAGGGAGCCCCAGGTCCCTGCTCCCTGCCCCTCTCCTCCTGTGAACTTGTGGCCTGTGCAGGCTCACTCACAAAGGAGCACCATTGAACTTCAACCAGACCTGCTCCCTAGTGGCCTTTAAGCCTAAAGGGCTTAATAATGGGCAATAATGTCAAGTGATTTCATTAAAAAAGGAAAAGAAAAATCAAAAGCCTATTTCTGGAATCTTTGGTGCCCAACTAAAATAAAAAAACATTTCTCCTTTCCAGATCCTTGCTATATCCGACTTGAAACTTATCCCCACTTGAGCCACTTTTGCCAAAAACAGCAGGAATAAAACGAGAGTGGCTCAAGAGGGTTCAACTGTTCTCCAAATCAGTGTCTCTAGGGATAAAAAGAAATGAAATAACAAAATAAATAAAAAATAAATAAAAAACAATTATTCTAAAAATCAAATGCCCTGGCTGTCATTTGGAATGCCCTTTCTTGACTGGTTCTCACAATTCTCCAGTACCTTTTCTTCCTTCTTTTCATGCAACTCTATATTTCCTTCTCAGTTCTTTCCTTCCTGTTTTTTCTTCTTTTTTGTCTCTCTCCTGTCTCTCCTCTCTTATTTTATCAGTCTCGCCATTACTCTTTCTCATTCTCTTCCTAGCTATAGTTTCCAGGTAGCCTTTACCCTTCATGTTTCTTTCTGACTCCTCATCAGCATGTGAGGGGACCTAAATGCCCAGAATTTCTAGCATTGGGGCCTGTAATATATACCAATGACTATGTGTTTTTTCTTAATTACTTTTATGCATTTAAAAACAAACAGATGAACTTAGTAGGGGAAACATTTATTTCTGATCACAGATTCTAGGAGTTCAGAATTCAGATGGGGCTTATCACAGTGGAAATTACTTGTCTCTGCTCCATGATGTCATGGCTATAGCTAAGAGCTAAAATCATCTGGAGGCTCTTTACTCTTATGTTTGATGCCTGGGATGACTCAAAGACAAGATTCACCTAGGACTGGTGGCCAGAGCATCTACCTACTGCTTCTCCATGTGACTTGGACTTTTTAAAACACTATGCTGTCTCGATTCTGAGTGGGAGTGTCCTAAGAGGAAGCTTCCAGAAAGCAAGTGTTCCAAGAGAAACCAACAAAAGCTACAGGACTTTTTATGACTTAGCCTCAGAAGTCATACACTTATTTATCAACCATACTTTATTGGTTGAATCAGTCATAAGCCTTCCATATTCAAGGGAAGGGAAACATAGGCTTCACCAGCTTTGTAAAGCAACACATCTGTCTACATAGACACCATTGATGTAGATGGACGTGATCAAGACTGTAAGCTTAAGTAAATTAAATACATAGTATTTGTACTGTATAGCAATGGATGAGTTTTCCAGAAAAGTACTATTTTTGTGATCGTTGTGGTCAGAGAAACGCATGTTCTGGTTCATCAAAACAACTTACATGTCAAAAGTGAGGTTTTAGGAACTATGTATGTAAAGGACAGGAAAACAGATTTTAAGTGGAAAGAAGGAAGGTGTACATCTCAGCATGATCTGACCTCAGAAAAATCTGAGAGATAATTTATGAATTGCCTGGGAGGCTCACAGGAACTGAAGAAAAAAACTGAAGTGAGATAAATTGTCTGACCTGCTGAAGAGTTCGACGAGATGATATAAGACACGTTGATGATTTGGGTTTGAATGCATCACAAGAATACAGAGCTGTTACAGGGAGACATCCTCATTAGACCCCTGGATCTGGAGTCAGAATGACCTGACTTTGAGCCATCACATTACCTCTTCAAATTGTATGACATTAGACAAGTTATTTGAACACTTAAGACTCCATTTCCTCATCTGTAAAATAGAGATTAAGAACACCTACCTCACAAGACTATTTGAGGATTAAATATGATTGCATAAAAGTGCTATGCTCACTAGCAGATAGTAGGCCCTCAGAAAATGTGAACTGACTCAGTTTCTGAGAAGAAGAATTTACCTAAACTGTCTTGCAGATGCTGAGTCAGAAGGTTGGAAACTGAATGCAGCATTCCCAGTGCTCCTTCACCCTCTTCAAAGCCACAAACCTGTGTGCTTATTTTGTGTGAGAACCCATCATGTAATAGTACAAAAGGTTATCCATTAGAGTATTTTCCTAGCTGGTTCCATTTCATTGTATACTAATAAGGCTGTCAAAATATTTTTCTCTCTTCAGCAAAGAGTCTGATTTCACTCTGAATTCATATTGGCATGGGTGGCCTTGAGACTGGGGATATTGTATATTGCATTCAGTTTGACAGTTTTTACAATTGAAGGTGGTCTCAGGAAACAAATCAATGTACTGACTTGGCAATTAATTCTGGCTAAAAAGGAAATATAGTTTCCTTGAAAAATTGGTTTAATTTTTACATTCAAACTTATATGCCCCTTGACCTGCTCTTATCAGTGAAGGTTAAACAGAGGGCACTGGGTCACAGCATGCTGGACGTGACTAATTAAATAAAGGCTGAGCTGAGAAAGTGTCACTACTTGATTTAAAGGAGCAAAGCCCTTCTGAAGTCTCTTTGGGGCTTGAAGAACATTTTTTTTGTTTGTTTTGGGGCTGTGAAACAGACAAAAGGCACTCTTAAAATTTAGCAATAATTTTGTTTCAAGAATGCTCACTAAAATGGCTCTGTTTCACCCAGTTAGGTAAAGTGAATTCATTGAAACGTCCAAGCTGCAACGCATCCAACCTGGTTCAAGCCCACTCAGACCTCAAATCAAAAGATGAGTTTAAAACGCTGCCTTTTCCCACAGGCCAGCAGTGGTGCTTCATTCCAGTGTGGGCTGCGAGTGTATTCTGTGGGCTTCGCCTCTCCCCTTTGCCCTCCTGTCGCTCTGTCTGTTTGACATGTTTATTAAATAGAGCTGCACAGACTCAGGCTCTCTTCTTGAGTCGCCCACCGCCGACAGCCCTTTGCCTGTCTGGAGAAAGGATCCCAGAAGTCCCATAGCTGAGGGGTTTCATGGTTTTAAGGAGAATTTTTTGTATTTTTTTTTTACATTCTTTTGGGAGCCTTTGGTTTATAGAGCTACTTATTTGAATAATAACTAGTTGTTATTTATAATTTTTGTTTAAACATAAATAATTAGAAATATATGTTTAACTCTGTGTACAAGAAACTATTTTCTCCTTCAGAAAAAAAATTGTTGGAATTTAGCTAAGTGGTAGATTTACAGGTGAATTTTAGGTTTTTTATGCTTTTCCAGATTTTCTACAGTAAGAATATTTGTATATGAGAAAAATTAAGTTATTAAAAATAGAATAAATAACTGTGCTTTAGGTAGATAATGTCTTGATCCACGTGGTATAGGCGTTTGGTCTGCTACTGTCCCTTTTCAGGTAAACATTGTATTTATTATTGTCATTTATTAGAAAAAGAACCCCTAAACTGAAGTGTTAAGTATAGTACTGTAGAAATGTCATGTTTTTCCAGCACCGTGGCAGAAAATGCACAGGGCCAGTCTTGCTTTGTGATTTGCAGCCCTGGCTCTCCCTGGGCTGAGGGCTTCTAACTGCTCCTTGTCTTTGTCAGTCTATTGTAGGGGCAGAGGGCTTGTCCCTTGCATTCCGGCACATGGCCAGCTCCCTGCTGGGCCACTGCAGCCAAGTCTCCTGTGAAAGCCTCCTTCATGAGGTCATCGTCTGTGTGGGCTACTTCACTGTTAACCACCCAGATAACCAGGTAAGAGGCCCTGGAAAGTTCCTTAGAACATTCCCCCAGTGCTGAGAGTGTGACGTATTAGAATGAGAAAAGGCAGGCTAATGGGCTGGAACCCAAATGTCCTCTGTAAAGCCCTTTAACCAGACGCCAGGAATATGCCTCTAACTCCTTCTCTTCAAATAGATTTTTTTTTCTTTTGGAGACAGAGGCTCGCTCTGTCACCCAGGCTGGAATGCAGTGGTGCAATCTCAGCTCACTGCAACCTCCACCTCCCAGGTTCAAGCAATTCTAATGCCTCAGCCTCCCAAGTAGCTGGGATTACAGGCACCCACCACCACACCTGGCTAATTTTTTGTATTTTTAGTAAAGATGGGGTTTCACCATGTTGATCAGGCAGGTCTTGAACTCCTGACCTCAGGTGATCCGCCTGCCTTGGCCTCCCAAAGTGCTGAGATTACAGGCATGAGCCACTACACCTGGCCCTCTTCAAATAGATTCGATAAGAACTAGATTAGCATTAGGGCCTCCTCTTAGAGCTATAAAATAAAATATTTGTAATAAAATATTCTTAAGCCACAGAGAAGCATGTACTCTCTTACCATGTAGATTCTTTACTATGTACTTCCTTACCACGTGGAGTCTGCTGCTCTAGCTATCAGGGTTTTTGTTTTGATAAGGTAGCTTACATCTTCCAAGTTGGGTCACTTTTCATATAGTATTAGAGTCTGGTGTTCTATGAAACTGTTCTTGACTCCTGGCTTCTGCCTAGGTGCTTAGAATCTTCCTTTGGTGTTGGTGGGAGGCTGAGAAGGTAGGACTCTCCCGTGGGTCACTCATAGTAGTTTTGCTTTAAACTACTTTAATTATTTGGTTTCAGAGCAATATTTCATAGATTATTTTTTTTAAAAAAAAAAGATTTCATTTGTAAAAAGGTTTCTGCTTTTTTTTTTTTTCTGAGACGAAGTCTGGCTCTGTCGCCCAAGCTGGAGTGCAGTGGCGCGATCCTGGCTCACTGCAAGCTCCGCCTCCTGGGTTCACGCCATTCTCCTGCCCCAGCCTCCCGAGTAGCTGGGACTACAGGAGCCCGCCACCGCGCCCGGCTCATTTTTTTTTTTTGTATTTTTAGTAGAGACGGGGTTTCACTGTAGTCTCAATCTCCTGACCTTGTGATCCGCCCGCCTCGGCCTCCCAAAGTGCTGGGATTACAGGCGTGAGCCACCGCGCCCGGCCTTTTTTTTTTTTTTTTTTTTTTAGACAAGTTCTTGCTCTGTCATTCAGGCTGGAGTGCAGTGGCATGATCATGGCTCACTGCAGCCTTGACCCCCTGGGCTCAAGCGATCCTCCCACCTCAGCCTCCTGAGTAGCTGGGTCCACATGCGGGTACCATCACACCCAGCTAATTTTTGTAGAGACAGGGCTTTGCCATGTTGCCTAGGCTAGTCTTGAACTCCTGGGCTCAAGCAGACCTCCCACCTTGGCCTCCCAAAGTGCTGGGATTACAGGTGTGAGCCACCACACCTGGCCTGCTTTCTGCTTTTTTAAGATGTTGGAAAATCTGTTATAGATTTTTTACTAATAATAAAGTACCTTATTTCTCTTTATTTTTGAAGCCGGGATTATGGCATAACTAGCATATCAAATAGTAATTCCTGACAACCTCATTTATCTAAAGCCCCCTACTTGGCCGGGCGCAGTGGCTCACACCTATAATCCCTGCACTTTTGGAGGCCAAGGCAGGCAGATCACCTGAGGTCGAGAGTTTGAGACCAGCCGCATACTCACCAACATGGAGAAACCCCGTCTCTACTAAAAATACAAAATTAACTGGGCATAGTGACGCATGCCTATAATCCCAGCTACTCGGAGGCTGAGGCAGGAGGAGGCAGAAGTTGCGACGAGCTGAGATTGCACCATTGTACTCCAGCCTGGGCAACAAGAGCAAAACTCCGTCTTAAAAAAAAAAAAAAAGAAAAAGCTCCCTACTCAGCCAACCTTAATTGTATAGATTGTAGCTAAGAAAGAAAAGCCTCTGAACAACCCCTTAACTCTTACTCTAAACTTTGATTTTTTTTTTTTTTTTTTTTTTTGAGACAGAGCCTTACTCTGTCGCCCAGGCTAGAGTGCAGTGGTGTGATCTTGGCTCACTGCAACCTCTGCCTCCCGGGTTCAAGCGATCCTCCTGTCTCAGCCTCCTGAGTAGCTGGGCACCCACCATCATGCCCAGCTAATTTTTGTATTTTTAGTATAGACAGGGTTTCACCATCTTGGCCAGGCTGGTCTGGAACTCCTGACCTCGTGATCCACCCACCTTGGCCTCCCAAAGTACTGGGATTACAGGTGTGAGCCACCGTGCCCAGCCTTACTCTAAACTTCCTAATTTGTATTGTAGGCAAATCTCTAACAAGTATGTTTGCAAGGTTTATCTAGCCTGCAGCAAACTAGATCTGGGCAGGAATAAAAGAGATGGTTGTGGTGGTAGAGCCAAGTACAAGGCAAGAAACTGCACAATGAGAGCTGAAATTGCTTTCCTGAGAAGGAGAAAAAAGAAAAAATAAATAAATAAATAAGGCAGGCCCAAGAACTCAGAAGTCATAGCCATCTGGGTTCAAAGGGACACTGAGCCCTGCTCTGTATTTCCTAGATGATTGTTGATGCCTCTAATACCTCAAGTAAGCATGGAGGCAAAGTGTATGTTCAGTCATTCCCTGAACCGCACTGCAGGAATAAGCAGTCTGTTTTAGAAGGATTCCCATGGCTAAAATATAGACAGTTTGGATCCTTACCAGAGTATTATACCAGAAAAGTTCCCCTTTTACAGACCCTGTTGCCAGGAGAGTAGATGGCAGCTTTTTCTCCCCTCCTACCTCTACAGCACAGGCAGTGTCCTTCCCTTTCAAGCACTCCCTGATGGGGATGCTCTGTCCTCTCTGTGGACCAAGCCTAGTAGGCTCACAGGTCTCTTACAGACTGCTCAGAGGAAGGAAAGTTGAGGGAAATCATCCGTGTAGATTTTTTTTTCTTCATGTGCATCCATTCAACCTATTAAATTGCTTTTTATTTTATCTTAAAAGTTGATTTTATTTTTCTGATTTTAATTATGGTGAAAAAGGGCAGCCGGGCACAATGGCTTGTGCCTGTAATCCCAGCACTTTGGGAGGCCAAGGCGGGTGGATCACCTGAGGTCAGGAGTTCGAGATCAGCCTGGCCAACATTATGAAACCCTGTCTCTACTAAAAATACAAAAATTAGCTGGGCGTGGTGGCAGGCGCCTGAAATCCCAGCTACTCAGGAGGCTGAGGCAGGAGAACTGCTTGAATATGGGAGGCAGAGGTTGGAGTGAGCCGAGATCCCGCCACTGCATTCCAGCCTGGGAGACAGAGCCAGACTCTGTCTCAAAGAAAGAAGAAAAGAAAAGGAAAAAGGAAAGGAAAGGAAGAAGGTAGGAAGGAGAAAGGAAAAGAAAAGGAAAGGAAAAGGAAAGGGAAGAGAAAAAGACAGTTCAAGTATAAAGAAAAAAACGGGAATCACAGTTATTCCTGATCTCACTATCTGAGATAGCCACTGTTAACATTTTGGCAGATTCCCTTCCAGCCTCTTTTCTATGAGTAATTTTACACGGCTGAGGTCATACTGTACAAATGCTTGTGTCCTGCTTTATGCACTTAACATTATATCAGAATCTTTGCTAAGTATTTTTAACAACTATATGGCTTTATCTTGTATGGACATTCATGGTTAACCTAAAAATGTCTTATTTTATACTTAAATTGTTTATTATATATGAAGACACTGCCTACTGCCTTTGAAAGAGGTAAGTAATTTGTATATGTGATAATATTTTGCTGTGTGCAGTTCTGCAGGACAAAATTCAGCTCTTTCCATGCGTTTCATATTAAGGATGGTTTAAAACTTTTTGCTTAAACCAACTCTATTATGATAAACTTACTGAACTCAGAATTTCATGGGATTTCAGACAGTTTTTCTGCTGATGCTGGATCACATATTAATTCTCTCCTTTAGATAAAACACACAATTTTGGCATCTCTGGGCTCAGAGTTAAGGGGTATCAGGAATGGGGGACTCATATTTGGAGATGGCATGTAAGACCTGACTTGGACATGGTAGGAAGGTGATGACTGGGCATGCTGGGATGAGAAAAAAAGCAGATGAAATGGGTGGAGAGAGCACTGGTCAATACAAGGAGGAGGAAGAGACTGAGACCCTGTCACTTGTCAGTTGGAGAAGAAGAGGATACAGTGAGGTTTGAAGATCATTGGTGAGAGGTAAGCTCACGCTGAGGAAGAAATTAGAAAAGTGAAAAAAGCCAGACCCTGTGTTTCAACACCTTGCCTCCCAGAAGGATTGAATACCAAACTGGACATCCACTTCTGATTTGAGGGAAGATTAGAGAGGTCACTTTAGATCTGGGGCAGTTGCTAAAATGCAACAATCTATGAGAAGAAAGAACAAGATTTAAAAAAAAAAAAAGTAGAGAAGTAAGAAGCTGATAGAAAAGATAGTAATTGTAAGAAGCTGAGACACTGCACATTATGGAGATGATATTACTAAGCATAATATTTATATTAGAAATTTTTATTTTATTTTATTTTTGAGATGGAGTTTCATTCTTGTTGCCCAGGCTGGAGTGCAATGGCACCATCTTGGCTCACCACAACCTCCGCCTCCCAGGTTCAAGCGATTCTCCTGCCTCAGCCTCCTGAGTAGTTAGGATTACAGGTGTGCACCACCACGCCTGGCTAATTTTGTATTTTTAGTAGAGACGGGGTTTCTCCATGTTAGTCAGGCTGGTCTCAAACTCCTAACGTCAGGTGATCCGCCCACCTTGGCCTCCCAAAGTGCTGGGATTACAGACATGAGCCACCACGCCCAGCCATATATTAGAAATATTATAAGGTAGAGGCCAGGCATGGTGGCTCACACCTGTAATCCTAGGTCCGGAGTTCAAGACCAGCCTGGCCAATATGGTGAAACCCCATCTCTACTACAAATACAGAAATGAG